TCTCAAGGGCACCAGCTTTCATTCAGCTATATTATTTGTCATGCCCTCATTGCCATTTGTGCAACTGCTAAACCACACTAATTAGTATTCTGATTTCCACATTATGTCAGAAATCCAAATTCAGTCAATTTAGTGCCACAGTCAAACATATAGTATTTTATTGAGCCTTAAAGTAACATAATCTATGTCCTTGCTGTGAGGTTAAATGCGAAAAAGTTGTGTCAATAGCACAATTAAAATATACACGTCTTTAATTATTTTTGAAAACATTTTTTTTATATAATAGATCATTTTAGTAGATATGTGTTCATATTAAATATGGCAAAATGACTAGAAATTTCTACTTTCGGTCATATAGTTAGAAAAAGAATACAAATCTGCCTGTGGTAGAATGATCGAATGACTTGCAGAGCCTTGCATGTGATCCCTGCGGGGTCTGAGCTCAGGTTGAGCTTACAAGAAAGACGCTTTCCAACACTATTTAAACTATGCTTTGATTGGTTGGTTTACAAACCAACCAATCAGAGCTCTCTGACTGATATTGCATATCATTGAAAAACATTTTTTTGGCTACATTTATATTTACTTGATGATGTATCTTGGCTTTGATGACAGAAAAAAAGTCTTATGACTTGAGTGAAACCATTTCATTTACACAATGCATTGTGACTGGTTGTCTTTATGTTGATTTATGATAGATTGTTTTTTTTTTTTTTTCTTTCTTAATGGCTGAAGTTATAAAACTAGAGAAAGAAGCCATGTAGCCCTTTAAGATTTAAAATTATCTTTAGAATCTTTTATAAACCTCCCATTGGCTGTCAGTCAGACAATCGGTCCTGTTACATCTTGGTTTGGTTAGCTCACAGGAGCTACACTCAAGATGCAGGCAATTGCTCAGAGCCACTGCATTGGAAAGACTTCTCATTGAGCTGCAGAAGTGTGAGCAGGGTTAGAAATGGAGGGCTCGCAAAGGCTGCAGACAAGAGATCTGCAGCTTTTGCAAGCTTTTTTTTTATATATACACCCATGGATTATCAGTGTCTGGATTATGTAATTTAAGCACAAAAGGGACAGTTGAAATCCAAACCAAATGAATTAAATCCAGGCATGGAGGCTTCAAATCTGGGCCTGGATCAAAAATCCTAATTGTTTTCTTGATGGAAACACTAGGAGCCAGCAGTCAAATAGGTAAAAACCCTCGGTTGCATGAGGGTTATATGTGGTGGCGTGGCAGAGCTTGCTAGCCAGTCGCTACCTTAAAATAGTAAACAACAAATATCGAGATCAATAACAGCCCATATTGCTAAAATTAAGGGTTTTAAACCTCAAATGCATGGCAGGTGGGAACATGTCTGCTAAGAGTGTAAAAACTAGCGACAGGGAAGCCATTGCTGGTCAACTATTGCTGGCCTTTGAAATAACTTGATGCCCTCATCCGGTGGGGGCTACTTTAAAAATATATGGAGAGTCTTAATCCACCTATTGTTCCTGTAACATTTCATTATTGTTTCATTGTTAAATTCCCCTTTTAATGCAAAGCGCTGCTGAATAACCTGGCACTATTTAAATACCAATAATAATAATCATAATAATAATGGAGGGAGCCCTAATATTTGTAATCAAGGGAGGGGACCAATTGTCTCTTCCCTTGGTCTCCACCAATGGTCGGTGATGGGAAACCTTATTAATTACAAAATGGGGGACAATTACAAAATACCAGTATGCCTCCTCCCCCTGGTGGCTTGTGTCCCCCTAATATAAAGTAACTACCATCCCCCCTCTAATAATAGTAAAGAGTGGGCCAAGAAACATGCAAAAAAACTGCAAACAATATTTTAATTACCATCTGAAGTCTTCCATTTTTTCTGTTCCTCAGCCCCCAGAAAAATCCCCCAAAAATCTATAATAAACTTCAGCAATGAAGGCTAGCTGCAGAATGTGGGCTCATAGCAGGGAAAGTACTTTTATGGGCTTTCCCCCACTACAACAGCTGTCGCAACGGTAATGAAAATTTCCTACATTTTGCAATATGGCCAAGAGCTCTCTGGTTAGTTGGCTAGTAAGACGTAACTGTGATTCATGCTTAAATCATGCAAAGGATTAAAAGTTGTAAGCCAACCAATCAGAGCGTTGTGGAAAATTGTGGAAAATTGAGCACTGAGACTGAAGGACCTATACATCTAAACGCCTGACACTAACTACACTTAACCCCTTAAAACCAGAAAACCCCTTAAAACCAGACCGGTTTTCGATTTTCTTACCGTTAAGGACTAGGCCTGTTTTTACATTTCAGCAGTGTTTGTGCTTTGCTGTATTTCACCTCTCATATTAAATGCACTGACACTTATTATATATCATTTTGTTCAGGAGAATTCATTTCATATCAAATATTTATATATATAACATAATTTAATAAGAAAAAATCAAAAAGATAGTTGATAAATTAAGAAATTTTGTTAAGTTTTTAGTTCTGCGTGGCACTTTAACTGTTCATGTCATAATACTGTTAGCTGTCATTGCAAAAAAAGTACACATATTTATTTTCAGCGATGTCTCACAAGTAAAACAGTACCCCCCATGTATAGGTTTTATGGTTGTTGGGAAGTAACAGGGTCAAATATAGCGTGTTAAATTTTTCATTTTTTTCACATTGAAATTCTCCAGATTGGTTATGTTACCTTTGAGATGGTATAGTAGCCCAGTAATGAGAATTACCCCCATTGTGGCATACCATTTGAAAAAGTAGACAACCCAAGGTATTACAAATGGGGTATGTTCAGTCTTTTTTAGTAGCCACTTAGGCACAGACACTGGCCAAAATTAGCGTTCATAATAGTTTTTTGCATTTTTAACACACAAACAAATATAAATGCTAACTTTGGCCAGTGTTTGTGACTAAGTGGCTACTAAAAAAGACTGGACATACCCTCTATTGAATACCCAGGGTTGTCTACTTTTGCAAATGGTATGCCATCATGGGGGTAATTCTCATTCCTGGGCTACAATGCAGTCTCAAAGGCAACATAGCCAGTCTAGCAAATTTCAATGTGTATAAACTGGAAAATATTTGACCTTGTAACTTTTCAAAACATCATAAAACCTGTACACGGGGAATACTGTTGCACTCGTGAGTCTTTGCTGAATACAAATATATGCATTTTATTGCTGTAAAAGCAAACAGTATTATGACATTGACAGTTAAAATGTCACGCAGAACTAAAAAATGTTTTTAAAAATGTAATTTTTCACACTTTTTTAGATTTTATTTATAATGAATTATGTTTCATATATGAATAGTTCATGTGAAATGAAAGCCCTGTTTCTCCTGAATAAAATTATATATAGTAAGTGTGGGTGCACTTAATATGAAAAAAAGATAATTTACTGTTGAACAGACATATAGTGCAAATTCCAGTTTTTGTTTACGTTTTGTTTTGATCACAACGTGCACAACTGGCTCAGTCTTTAAGGGGTTAAGTAAACCACATTTTCAGATTATCCAAAAATAAATAAATGTATGACAATAAAGGACATGGTATATTCAGTCACATTGATATTTTGTGCGTATTTTAAACTTGTCTATACATGAAATTCTGATTCAGGAATATTTTGGTATAACTAAATTAAGCAAGTCGTCTACTATAAAAGGTTAAAATATTTCAAGAATCTGTTCCTGTGAAACTAATAATGTGGTTTACTGAATTGAGAATTAATATTTGTTTTTTAATTGAAACGTTTTTTATTGTTTTTTTCAAAACAGCAAAAAAAAGGGGGGGGGGAAGGGATACAGAAAGGAAAAAAGGGAGGGGGGGGATAGGCAGTGTGTTGTAAAATAACATAGAGCACAGCAATAGTGGATGCATGATCTGTTCATCCATATCATTTATGCTTAACCGGTACATTTTATTTACTGGATTTTAGGTTTTTGGGGTACAGAACAGAAGGGGGTAGTCTTCATGCATCAGAGCCTGTGCTCGTTACCTGTGCAGTGGGGGGTTGGGGATACAAGGGGGGTCACCGTTTGGTCAATACAATATTCATTACTTGGTAGACCTATTTATGCTTCAAGATAATACTGTCGTGTTTGTTCCATTTGTCGTTAGGTTTGATAGCTACATCACAGTGCGTATGTCACATTGGTCTCCAAACTAGGCTGTATAAGTACCTACATACAAAATACTTGCGTGTATTAGTGAGCGTGCCTAGTTTATGCATTTAGGTCAATCCAGGGTTTCCACGTGTCCCTAAATTTTTGTGTTTCTACGCTATCTGTCATTGTCATGCTTTCGTATATGTAGTATTGTTGTATCTTATCCCAGAGTTGGATTTTGGTAGGACATATGTTTGATTTCCAGTTAATGGCCAATAGGTTTCTGGCGGCCAGGAGTACAATGGCACACTTCTGTTTATGTGCTTTAGTGAGGCTGTTGGGGAATAGAAGCAGTAGATATGTTTGTGGAGTTTTAGTTAGGGTCGGTATAGCCAGTTGATGTAGTGTGTTTTGGACCTCTGCCCATAAAGGTTGAATTCCTGGACATGACCACCAGATGTGTAGCAGTGATCCTACTTCCAACACATAGGTGAGACTGTGGGGTATATTCTGTGGAGTTTCTGTGGGGTCATGTACCACCTGTATAGTCATTTTCTGTGTGCTTCTATGCGTGTGTAACACTTTGTGAGTCTGGATAAGTCATTGATGGAACGTAACCAGTCTGCGTCGGGGATCTCTAGGGAGCAATCGGCTTCCCACCTTGTTTTGCATAGCAGGGTTTGGTTTGGTTGTGTGTCATTCCACATCCCATAACACAGGGATATGGCCTTTTGTTTACTAGGTGTGGTCCAGCACCTGTTAAGGATGTTTGTCGCTGGTAGTATTGTGTCCTGAGGTTTGGTGTGTTGTAGCTGTACGTGTGCTGTTATGATTCCTTTTATACTTAGGTAGGTGAACAGTTCTTGGGTTGCAATTGCCACTTAGTTTGTAGGTCAGTGAATTGTATTACCTTTTTGTTGTTTACGATTTGGTGAATATGGGTAATTCCTGCTTTGCTCCACTTCGTCAGTGGTAGGCTTGGGGATATGGCCTTTAGGGCTGTTAGTGGAGCTTGGGCATGGAAGACAGTTTTGCAATCTAGTGCGTGCATGAATTTATCCCATACATTAATCGTATATGCTGTGGCGGGGAACAACCTAAGTTTAGGAGGTCTAAGGTGTTTGGGTGTCCACATTAGGTCAACCAAATTGTATTCCGGTATTTGTGTCCTCTCCATGTCCACCCATTGAAGTTCTCCGGCCGGTGAGTGTAAGAGTATGCCTGTTGCTAGTGCTGTTGCTTTGTAGTATTGGTAGATATTTGGGAGGCCTGTTCCTCCTTTTGTGATGTGTGCGTGTAGTATTATGCTGGGTACACTGGGTTTTTTGTTGCCCCAAATAAATGAGTTACATGTTGTTTGTAGTGCCTTGAGTGTGGATTGTGAAACTCTAATGGGTAGCATCCGAAACACGTATAATATTTTGGGTAGAATAGTCATTTTATATGCATTGATTTTCCCTAGCCAGGACAGGTGCTTGTGTGACCATTTCAGCATTTCTGTTTTGCATTGTTGTGGTAGTGTCGGGTAGTTTTATTTTATTATTGCAGCAATAGACGTTTTTTATGCCTAGATATGTGAGGGAGGAGGACCTCCAGTCAAATTGATATCGGTCTTTCATGCGTTGTTGTTTCTCTCGTGGCATATGTAGTGGTAATGCTTGGGTTTTGTCTTGGTTGAGTTTATAGTTGGATACCTGACCGAATTCCTGGAGAGTTTGCATGAGGTGTGGGAGGGAGTGTTCTGGGTTTTCCAGTGAGACCAGTACATCGTCTGCGAACAATGACAGTTTATGTTCTTTGCCTAGTACCTCGATTCCTTTGATACTCGAATGTGTGTGTATCTTTAGTGCTAGTGGTTCCAGCGAAAGGATGTATAGTAATGGGGACAGAGGGCATCCCTGACGCGTTCCATTTGTGATATGGAATTTGTCAGAGATGAACCCCCGTTGGATACTCTGGCCGCTGGGCTACTGTAAAGTGCACCTATTCCTTTGATTATCTCGGCCGGAAAGCCGTATTTCTCCAGTACTTTCGACATGTATGCCCAGTTTAGGCGGTCGAAGGCCTTCTCCGCATCTAATGCTAGGAGAAGGCCCTCGGTCGCGTGTCCCTCCGTTGCAGCCAGTATGTTGAGGATCTTACGGGTGTTGTCCGAACCCTGACGGCCCCGGATGAACCCGGACTGGTCGTTATGCACAAGCTGGCCGAGGATTGGGGCTATTCTATTGCTTAGGATTTTAGCGTATATTTTGGCATCGCTATTTAATAAAGATATGGGTCTAAATTTTTTAGACATTGTAGGCGATTTTCCAGGTTTAGGTAGGGTGGAGATATGCGCCAGGAGTGTTTCGGTGGGCAGCGCTCCCTGCTCTGCGCATTTTTGGTACAACGTGAGCAGATGGGGGGAGAGACTTTGCGTGAACGTTTTATAATACTTATTAGTAAGACCATCTGGACCTGGGGCTTTGTTCGTTGGCAGATTTGTTATTACTTGTTTAATTTCAGTTAGAGTTATGGGTTGTTACAAGGATTGTATTGCGGTCAGTGTAAGGGAGGGTAAGTGTAGGTCGGCCAGGAACCTGTCTATGTCTTCTGAGGTAGGCACGTTGGTGGTCTGGTCTTCTTTGAGATTATACAATTTATGATAGTACTCTGCGAACGTGTTAATGATTTTACGAGGTTCAATGATTTTTTGACCATTATTTCCTTTGAGGTAGGCAATCCTGGAGGCACTTGTTTTTTGTTTAAGCTGAGCTGCTAACGTGGCACCAGCTTTGTTCCCTGCCATGAAGAATTTATGTTTAGATTTTTGTAAAAAAATATGTGGTTTTAGCCAGTTTTATATCTCTTAGTTTAGTTTGTAGTTGCAGCGGTTTGCGGTGAGTGTCGGTGGTGGGTGAATGTTTGTTCTTATGTGTCAGGAGTTTAATTTCGGCCATGAGGGTCATGTATTGTGCTCGTCGGGAACGTTGGACTTGGGTGGCATGTTTAATGAAACTGCCTCTTATAACTGCCTTGTGTGCTAGCCAGGTGTAGTTGGGATCTATGTCTGGCCTGGTATTGTCCGCAAAATAATTTTGAAGGTCTGATGTGATCTGCTCCACTATGTGTGGGTTGGTGAGTAAGGATTCATTTAGCCTCCAAGTGGTTTGGCTGTTGGTAGGGAATCTATCTTCCAGGGTCATCGTTATAGGGGCGTGGTCTGACCACGTAATAGTACCAATTTCTGTGTGTAATATTTTCGTTAGGGACGTTGTTTTAAGTAGAAACCTGTCTATTCTTGAGTAGCTATTGTGTGCAGGGGTATGGCAGGTATAGTCAATGTCTGTGGGATGTGTCATCCTCCAGGGGTCTACATAGTCATGAGTGGTTAGGGTGTTACAGATATGTTGGGACTGCGTAAGCCGTCATTTAGATGTTGTGGGTGTTACAGTGTCCGAGGCAGAGGAATCTTTGATACTATCCAGGAGAAAATTGGTATCGCCTCCAAGTATTACCTCCCCAAAGCTATACACTTTCAACAATGCAAATACATGTGATATAAACGGTTCTTGGTTTTCATTGGGTCCGTAGATATTCATTAATGTGAAGGGGCTGTTATTGATATGGCATTGGAGGATGAGTTACCTGCCTTTATTATCACTAATTTTGCGAGCTAGTTCAAATGTAATAGATTTACTCACTAGAATAGAGACTCCTCTCTTCTTTTGGGAGTAGCACGAGTGGTAGTCTGTTGGGAACCAGCGCGAATTAAACCTGGGTCGGGAGCCCCATTTAAAATGTGTTTCTTGGAAGAAGGCTATTTGCGCCTTCTGTTTTCTGGCCTTTGTGTTGAGGGAGAGTATTGTAATCGGCATCTTGCCGGTAAAGTTAGGTTGGGTGGGTTAGGGAATTTACCCTCTCGTTTGGTAGTAGCGCCCTGGCTACGGTTTTGCTATCACTGGGTATTGAGCGAAGGGTGGTAGGTAGAAATGGGTGGGGGGGAAACAAGAACTATATACAAATCCTGTTAGCCAAATGGCACAGTGCAGTGATCTGCAACAGGTATGGTTTGGCTTGTTATTTAAACCGTATGGGGGATTGTAGGCGGTAGAGCTTAGATACTTCTGATTGGATTACGGGAGTTGTGCCCTTCCACAGGTGTATGTTAAGCAGTATAAATGTGTGGTTATTGAAGCAGCTACTCTGCTCGGGCGTCACTTGTAGTATGGCCACGGAGGCGGGTAACAATACAATTTAACAAAACCTTATACCCAGGTGGCATCCGCCTAGTGTGGACTCGTGGCTGCAGTCACATTGTGGGTGAAGACAGCCGCGGGTCGCGTAGGGGGTAGTAGGTAAACAGTCTCAACATATTACACTTGAACACATATCTGTTATTCTTCATTGGTGGTCTGTAAGCTTGCTCTTAGGTGCGCTGGTAGGCGACACGTCCGGTGCTCTTGTGCTTGTCTCGTGCCAGGGGACATTATTCAAGTATCTGGTAAGTTTCCTAGGCAGTGAAGCTGTGGGTGATCTGAAGTTGGGTGGGTGGTGGATAGGTATGTTCCATTCTTTAAGCAGCTGTTTGCCATCATGCGGTGTTAGGATGATTCGATCTGCTCCATTTTTCTTAAGTATGAGTTTCACTGGGAATCCCCACTTGTAAGGTATGGCGGCGTCGCGGAGTGCTGTGGTGATGGGAGCAAAGGCTCTCCTTTTGGACATCGTCGTTGCAGAGAGGTCTATAAATAGCTTGATGTCTGTGAACGGGGCTGGGAGTGGTGTAGCAGCCGTGGAAGCCTGCATTAGTTGGTCTTTCACTGTGTAGTAGTGTACCCTCGTGATAACATCTCTTGGGGTTGAGGGTGGTAGGTGTCTGGGTTTCGGCAGGCCGTGTGTGCGGTCTAGGCGGAGGTCGGAGGCTTCAAGATTAGGAATCAAGGCTCTGAACATATCTCAAACAAACGTAGTCAGGTCTTGTGGGCCTATGTTTTCCAGTACGCTTCTCAGCCTGATATTATTCCGCCGGTCCCTGTCCTCTTTGTCTGCAATTTTCCCCTCTAAGTAAGACACTTTCTGCTGCAGTGTGTGCTTCTGCTAACACGTTATGTGCTTCCAGCATCCCTTCAGTTTTCTCCTCTAGATGGGCAGTCCTGTCTCCTAGGGCTTGTATGTCTGCCCTGATGTCGGACAACATTTTGGAGAAGTCTGGCTTGTAGTGAGTGCAGCATGTTGCTTACCGACTCATCTGTGGCCGGTTGTGAGTTTGGGGTGTCTGGGATTTCGTGGCTATCCCTGGTATCGTGATCTGAGATAGGTGAGTTTGGGTCACCGTCGCCATCTTGGTCGCTGTAGTGCACCATTTTTAGATGTGAGTGCAATGTTTTCTGTTTTAGTTTCTTACTTGATTTTGTAGACATATTCTTCCCCCCGACCCTGGCGTCTTGTAGTCGTGCTGGTGTGTTTTGTAGGCTGAGAAACGCGCTATTCGGTCCACGGTATGGCGGAGCTCACTTTCTATGTGGTGTCCGGCCACGCCCCTTGAGAATTAATATGAAGGATTAACATGCAACTATTATTTCAAAGAAGAGATTAAATAGGTTTGAATCCTTTATTTAAGAATTTTAGAAACGATCACACTTTGCACGATTTAATTCATCACAATTACTTCTCACTGTTTACAAAGCACTATACATTGTATTCCATTGTTCTCCAGAGAAAGTACATTGTTATAGGGAAAGATTTCTTGACCTAAGTATAAATGCACATTTTGTATAAATCTGAGTAAATATAGAACAGTAGCACTGTGCCATGTGAACAGCCATCTTACTCTATAATTCCTCTTTAGATGAAATTTCAGGTAATAACAATGCAAGCAGACTTTGAGAGCTACCAGTTTCTCAATCCACTGCAAAGGTTTTTCATTCCAAGGAATCCTAAGTAAACTGAAACACAATAGGTATTGTTAATTTAACACTGAATTGCAGTTGGGTTAGGTCAAAATAACTCAGTTGGTAAAAAGCACATGATTGAGCTGTAATAAGAACTTGTCTATTTTAGACCATACGTTTTGCCCAATAATTTGAAATGTTGCTTTCAATTCAGCACAGTTCACTGCTTAGTGAATAAAACCTCATGTATCAAGCAAAACTGAAAATTACTGGGATACTAGTAATATGGCCATTAAGTGCCATA